TATGCTGGGATGTACGCTCGCCACTTTTCCTTGCCGGTACCTAGGCTTTCCTCTCTCTCTCTACAAGCAAGGTACTGCGCAGTTCCAGGACCTGGTTGAGCAAATTGCAACACGGCTGCCGTTTTGGAAGGCGGCCTCACTGCCCAAGAGCAGCAGGATGATCCTAGTCTAGTCGGTATTGTCGGCCATACCGGTACATGCCATGCTTGCCATGGGTCTGCCCACAAAAACGATCAAGACACTAGTGAAAATCTGCAGAAGCTTCCTATGGTGTGGGAAAGAGGATGCAGGTGGAGGGAAGTGTGCGGTAGCATGGGACATGGTCTGCCAACCAAGATGGGCAGGGGGACTGGGAGTGACCAACCTCAAGTGGATGAATATTGCGCCCCAAGCGAAGTGGTTGTGGCTTCAGCATGCAGATGCTACCAGGCCATGGGCGGAGTTCAAGTTCAACATTCCAGATGAAGCCAGAGCTCTGTTCCAGGCTGCAACAAGAGTGGAGCTTGAAGACAGCAAAACGACCCTTTTTGGGAAGACAGGTGGTGCAATGGCTATCGGCTTCAGGAGTTGGCCCCAGGGATATATGCCAAAGTATCCAAGAGGGTGAGATGCACAAGGACAGTGGAGGAGGCAATGCTCCACGCATCATGGGCAAGAGATGTTGGACCAAACTTGAATGAGGATGAGCTTGGCCAATTCATGCAACTTTGGGCGCAGGTGGAAGGCATGAACTTGGAGGCACAGCGGCCGGATCATCTTGTATGGTCATGGGAGAAGAATGGCCAGTTCTCGGTTCGATCGGCATATGCGGCTAGGTTTGCCACGCATCATCTCTCACCCACAGCTGGCTTCACTTGGGCATCGAAGGCCCCCTTACGGTGCCGCTTCTTCGTGTCGCTCGCGCTTATGGGTAGAGTGTGGACTTCGGACATGCTTGCATGGCGAGGGCTTCCGCACCAGGACACTTGCCCATTTTGCGACCAGGAGGAGGAAACTATTGACCACCTCCTGACCAGCTGTGTCTTCGCGCGTGAAGTCTGGGAAAAGGTAGGCCTCATCATGGGCATGGTCGGTCTGGCGCCGGCACAAGGGGAAGACCTACGGGCATGGAGCACTCGGGTGGCACGATTTGGAAGATACACAAAGACGACGCATGCCATTCAGATACTTGTCCTCTGGGAGCTATGAAAACATCGTAATTCGACCGTGTTTGATGGTAAGGCCCCGGATGTACGGCATGTGCTACGAAGAATACAAGCTGAGGGCGAAATATGAAGCAGGCAGGCCTCCTGCACGAGGATCTTAACATCCTTTCAGTAGATGTAGAGGTAGCGGGTGGGTGTATGGTGAGTAATCCACCGGTAGCTAGCACGGTGGATCGCGTTGTGTACGCGTCATGTAAATAATGTGGACGGGGCTCTCCCCTCCCCCCCCCTTTTCTTCTATCAATATATGATACGCACACTCGTGCGCATTTGAGAGAAAAAAAATCATAATCTCCAATGACGATAACGACATTTTTACATATCATCGCATGATTTTAAAATTTTGTTCACAAATGCAAGAAAATGTTTCTTTCTTTAAATTTATTCACAAATTGAAGCAATGTTCACATTTTCAAAAAAATATCATGGTTGTCAAAAAACTTGCTAATTCAAAGAATTATTCAGAATTTCAAGAAACATTTTTTAAAAAACATACAATAATATTACGATCCACCCCTGGTAGTTTTTTTCTGAGAAAACGTCCAATCTATTCATCTTCAATCATGGCAGTACAACGAACACCAGAAATAATAAAAATTACATCGACCACCTAGCAATGACTATAAGCACTGAAGCGAGCCGAAGGTGGCCCGCCATCATCGCCCCTCCATAATCGGAGCCGGGCAAAACTTGCTCTAGTAGACAGTCGAGAAGTCGTCATGCTAAGGCCCCATAGGACGAGCGTACCAGAACAGCAACCGCTGGCGATGAAGAGTGGCGCAGATCAGAAGGATCCAACCTGAAAACACACGAATGTAGACGAACGACAAATAGATCCGAGAAAATCCACCAAGGACAGATTCACCGAATGACACATCCACATGCCCACCGAGGATGCTAAACGCATCACCGGAACGGGGGCTAGGCGTGGAGAACCTTATTCCATCTTCAGATAGCCATCGCCTTCTCGTCTTCTTGAATTGGACACAAACCCTAACAAATCTCGAAGACACATCTAAAAACAAAGCCCTCCAACCGGCAAGGGCCAGGATCTGCCGCGCTCCCATGACCCTAAGGCCACCGGAGACGACGCAGACAAATGCCGGCGTCGGTGGGAAGCAGAGGAACCCTAGTTGGGGGAGGAGGCGGCTCCCTGAGTCACGTACGAAAATCTCCACCCCCGGTAGTCAATTCTTCAAAATTCAAGCGGGTATATAGTCACGAAGACTCAGAAGCAATACTGTTTAAGTACATACATTCAATCATTTGTGAACATTTTTACAAATTTGGGAATATTTTTTAATATTTACAAACATTTTATTTAAAATTATGAATATGTTTTTGATACTATGAACGGTTTTTAAGCATTTTCTTTTGAAACGAAAATCTAGAATAGAAAAACATTTTTCCCGAAATTGGTGGATTTTTTTTTAAATTCATAAATATTTTTTGAAATACATGAACATTTTCTGAATCAGCAAACATTTTATAAATCAATAAACTCTTTTGTAGTTCATGAACTATTTTTAAAATTTTGGGTTATTGAATGAGCAAACATTTTGTTCAATTTCATTAATAAATAATACACAGACTTTGTTTTTCAAAATCATGAACTTGTTTATTTTACGAACATTTTTCTGAATATGCGAACTTTTTTAGAAAATCTAGAGCATTTTTTGAATTCACAGACATTTTATGTTTCTTGAACATTTCATTTGAAATTCTCTTTTTCTTAATTTCATATTTTTTGAAGTTCCAAATTATTTAGAGAAGAAAAAAAACAAAAACGGAACAGAAAAATAAATAAATAAATGAGACTTTAAAAACAGGCGCCGGCACATGGGCGGCACATATGGGCGCGCTATGTCGCAAAACGCAGTATAGTAGGTCCCTATGATTGAGCCGACCGACGAGGGATTCCCTGTAAAATGTTTTTATCACTTATAGGTGGCATTGGTGGATAATATTTTGCAACTTCGTGGGCAATTTTAATAACGTACTAACAGAAGTGATAGCCCTTTATTATTAGGTAAAGATAAAGATATAGTACGCACAATTGTGCGTATTCGAGAAAAAAAAACCGTCCGCCCAGTGCAACTGTGACACAGCGTAATCTAAAGCGTCCGTCTCTGACGTCGTGAGCGACTGGCAGTAGACCCAAGCGAGGAGCCGCTCGTCCTCGTCAAGGCTCCGCCGGCATCTCGTGGCGGTGGCGCAGAGACTGCTCCGCTATACCCCTCTTCCTTGCCCGTTACCTCTCGTGGCGGGCAGCGCGCGCCTCACATTCCGGAGTGTGCATGCGGGCCGGCGGCAATGGCACTAGCACCCCCCACTGCCCCGCGCGGAGCAACGGTCGATGGGGAATGGGATGGCGTGGGGGCGGAGCGGACTATGTTGCCTTGGCGGAGCTGCGCGCGGGGCGAGGAGGGGGGTGTGGGGTCAGCTCCAGCGTCCATGTTGCGCTGGCGCGGAAGCTGCGGCGACGCTGCAAATCCGGAGCTGCCCCGGGTGCCCACTTTGGACCGCTCCAAGGCAATGCGGATGACCAACTCCTCGTCGACGTCGAGGTCAGATCTGTAGTGGCTACCGGAGCTCGACATTACGCCAGCAAGGAGCCGAATTTGGGTTTTTCGTGGGACAGCCGTGGGTTGATGGTGGGCCGGACCTCTCAGCTCCAATGTGGATGACGCCCCCCTGACCGCTCCATATCTGCCCTATATTTGAGCTGGATATGAAGGGCGCCGGACAGCCAGACATTTGAGACCGGTTTGAGACGTTCGGTTAGGTCAATTTTTTGTGACCGCTCGGTGGCCGGTCTACCCACCCGAATGTTTGACACAGGTTTGGAACGCCCGGGTGTAGATGCTCTTATAATTGTGCCGGATATGGAGGCAAATCAGGGAGCGGGCGACCCGTAGAGGGGTTTGTGGCGGTGGTGTGTCGTCGCCGTCGCCGTAGAGGGTGGTGTTGGGGAGAAGTATGTGGATTCCCGGGAAGGCTCGACGCTTCACCCACCGCTCAAACTACGACGATGGCCATCGTGAGCTACCTAGCTGTGCGGGCTCTCCAAGCTAATCGGTGTACCGTAGCATAGCATCATCCCATTCCCATGAGCTTTATTCTAGAAACAGAAAAGAACAATCATACCATCAGCCACTTGCATGTCAGCGTCATCCCTCCTGTCATCAGAGATTCTCCCGGCAAGAAATAAATTTAGAAATCAGGGATTCAGAGTCAAACAATGTTTTGTAGTACGTACGTACATCGAGAAGATGAAGCGATCAACTGAATAATTTTGACTTGAGCACCACGGCGGCATGCATACTCCACTATCAAGCAACAATAATGAGCTCAACTAACGAACGAGACATTTCTAGTCAGTCCAAACATTGCTGATCTGCTTCACCAAGGCATTGCGCTGACAACGTCAGCAGCTTGAGCTTTCCCTTCAGACCGGAATCTTCCGAAGAAACCCCACAGCCGTCAGGCTCAGCAGGCATTTGTTTATTGACCAGGCGTACGTTTGACTTTGAATCGTCCTCCTCTAGTCTCGTTCTCGGCTTCTCGCTCGTGTTGTTATTTGCTTTCGCGTCTTCCTATCCATTTCCATCCATGCGCACCCGAGCTGTGGCGGCATGGTCGTCTCGCCCACCGCGTTGGCGTCGCAGCAGCATATATAAAGCTCGGTCGAGAGAACGAGGAGGTCAGACGTCCAGAGCTGTAGCAGCAAACAAGCAAGCAACAAGAAGCAACTTACTCGATCGAGTGGAAATCCGTTCAACTTGGATTGATCTGATGGCGCGCGGTAAGGTGGCCGAGTGGATACGGAAGCGGGCGATGCCGAGGAAGCCGGCGGCCGGGCGCCGGAGCAGGGCCAGCGGGGCGTCGGAGCCGATACTAAGAGACGCGGAGGAGAGCTGGAGCGGCGCCACCGGGGCGCCGGCGCCGATGCCTGCTAGAAAGAGCCCCGGGAGCGGGAAGGGTGCCAATGGCGGCGCGGCGGCGCACTCGAGCTCGAAGGTCCGGGCGGTCGGCTTCTTGTCGGCGCTGCGGTGGCGGCCGCGCGTGAACGTGCTGGCGGTGGTGTACGAGAAGGTGGTGTACCACGTGATGTGGCTGGTGGAGTCCGTGGTGGTGGTGGGGAGGCTCATCTTCTTCCTCATGCGCTTCGGCTTCAAGCAGCTCTGATTCTGAATTCACCCGATGCTATGGTGTTGGCGTCAGAGGGTGGTGGACAAGAAGCGTGCGTGATTCTTTGGTTGACTGTTTTTTTTTTTTTGGTTCGTTCGGTTTCCTCTGTGCAAATTCGTGTGCCGTTTTTCCCAGGCTTCCGATCCGTAACAGGTTGTAAATGCCCTCACTCAGCCCTCTTGTGTATAAAGAATTTTCTGTGTTGGTTCCTGTTTGATGGAAATGTCATGACCATAAGATGTTGGGCATTTTTAATCAATCGCCATATATTGAGCTCTGACGTAAGGTACGTTCATGCGATCGATAGTGGCGATGCCATCGCTTCCGGTTCCGGGTGCATAGCATCGGGGAAGAAATTGAACCCGAGATAGTTGCGGCATGCTGAAGAGGCCCTGAACTCAGCGACGACCACGCCCAGCTATGCTCCGAGGGAAGTCTCTTCTGTGGGACGTGGATTAATGAGCTCGGGTGAATAAAATCCAAAAAAGTCAAAAAAAAATCAAAGGATTCTAAACTTTTTTTTGGAAAAATTAAACAATCCATTTAAATGCTTGTAAACTTTTAAGATTATTTTTGAAAAAAGAATACATTTATATCACGAAGATACAATTACACCTAGCCTTCACACCAATAAAATATCCAAAAAGACATCCAGAATGCATACAACCCAAAAAACAAAAACAAAAAAACAAAGGCCTCGCCACAGTGTTCAACTCCTCTCCGTAGCAGCACGCAAACCATCACCAACAACAACACCCAAAAAAAATAAAAGGTCTTCAAAAGCGACACCTTCAAGAAGGAAACTGTGGACAACCGTCGTCAATGCCCGATCCAAGATCTTAGATTTCACCCTCGAGAAAGTCCGAGCTCTCAAAACAATAAATTCAGCAAAGCAATTGCCAGTCACAACCAATAAAGGTTAGACCTTAGGTTTTCACCTTGAAAGTCATGACTCGGACCCAAGGAGTACCACCAAAAATGAAATCCTTTAGTGCTACCGCCCCCACTTGTCACCGCTCCTTCCGAAAGTTATCGGACACCTGGCTGACTCCATCGCCTCCAAGGCCCCCTTCGCCTTACAGATCCTTCGACCTCAGCCACCATCAGTTTCTCCACCGCTGTCTACGCCATGAAAATCGAGATACCGACATGTCTCATCGTGTCAAGAAACAACAGAGCTTCACGCTGCACCCTCATGGAGCCGTGTAGGCTGATATGAACACACACGACCAGATTAATCCAATCCAGAGATCCTTGGGCAAGATATCCGGCAACAGTTTCGGAACACGTCGACTGCCAGATTGAGGAGGACAGATCAAGCACATCACTGTCGTGATGCGAAAAGAGCACTAGGACCACCACCATATCGCTGCCTCCACCATGTCGACACCATCGCCGCCACGACGGAGGACACTGTCCCGCTCTGCCCACAGCCCGCGCCGCGGGTTGAAGACGGACGCCAGATCAGGATGGATCCCGATCCGCCGCCACTCCCTCGCTTGCACGGTGCGCCACCTCGAAGCCCGACGTGCGCCGTCGGTTCCAAGTGCCGTCACCGTGGGGATTTGACGCCGCACCACCGGGACCCACAACATCGCTGTGTCCCGGCCCAACGGCGACGCCCCATGACGGAGGCCATGCGCGGAAGGCGAAACGCCCCGCCGGTGGCGGCGGCCAGGTTTTGCCCCACTACGTCCTCTGGTGATGGCGAGGGAGGAGGAAGGGAGGGAGAGAAGGGTGTCGGCGGTAGCGCCCTCCCCGTCGCCCATGAGAGCGAAGTGGGAGGGTCAGATCCTTTTTCCACGGGAGCATAAAAAATATCAACACTCTAAAAATAACTTTTTTCGAGCATAGATTTGTTTTTTTACACGACTTCATGACTGTCTTTTCACGATGAAACTTTGCGAGCACTAAAAACATTTCTCAATGTTTATCATAAAAAAGAAGTTAGAACGTTTTTAATTTTTACTGTTCTCGAGCTCATATGAGCTCGAGTTGAGAAGGATACTTTCACTTCTGTGGTGGGTCTAACATAACTGTATGAGAAGGTGAGGTTTAAGATATTTTTCCCTTCATTTCTTTGCTAGTACTCGCTCCTTCCCTTTCTTGCACAAAACGTTTAATCAAATGGTCCAACATGTGACATGTTTGCAGCTGAATCGAATCCTACTGTCTCAACCATACTTGGTCGCTTTTTTTCTTCCGAAAAGGAGGTTTCAACCTTTGGACATTTTTATTGTATTATTCAACAAAGTCAGAAAAAAATAACAATATATGAATCAACCCAGAGCCACCTTGATGACCTATGTTTCTACACCTACAAACTTGATGACGTGCACTGACCTCACACCCACACACATCATCTAATTCAGTGGCCTCGCAAAGCCATCTCTCTATGAGCCGAGAGCACCAACCGCTCAAGCAGACCCTCAGCGCATCACATGTGCACACTCTTAAATCCGTCACCGTCTCATCTTCAGGACGGATCAACACATTGAACTTGTCAGACCCTATTGCCGTCAACACTACCACGACACTAAAGTGCGCCACCACCCTGCGCTCCTCCATCAAGACACATCCGTCGTCGAGACTCCGCTGCACCATGCTGTCGAGACCTGTCGTCGTCAACACGGGAGAAACAATGCCGCTCCATCTGTAGTCCTCTTTAGCCGACAATTGCTCCAAGAACGATGCCCTCATGATGGTGACGGCACCCGACGCCACCATCTCCCGATCTGGAAGGCCGAGATCAAGGGTTTTCCCCGGCAAACGACCCTTCCAGCCAAATCCACGTGATGGTCCAACACCGTCACACCTCTGAGATCCGATCGGCCAAAGCTCCCAAACAATGACTTCAAAGCATAATTTAAACAACGAACCGTTAATCGAATCGGCAAGGTTGTTGGTTCACGTTTTTACCAGTCGGACCACCGGTTCACCGATTCGATTGTCAGTTTTTTCAAGAATAAAATAATATATATTTTATCAATAAATACACCAATTAATAGATAAAATAATATATATTTTTATCAGTAAATACACCAATCAATTATATATAGAGAGAAAGTTCCCAATCAATCGAAACCCTATCAAAAGAGGTTTTTTCCTTTACTGATTTTACCCTCAGCTTGTACCCACAAAAACGAATCGGTCGAGGGGCTTTTCTGGAATCAACATCGAATCGCCGGTTTTCTATGAACCACCCGCTTCATCAGTTTTTTCAAAACCCGACCAGTTCAATCGATTTTTTTGGTTCGATTGTGGGACGGTCCACTACACTTTAAAAACCACTGTGATCGTTGGTTCCGGTTTTTCCGGTCTGACCGCCGGCCCAGTCCGGTCTTTTAAACTATGCTCCAAAGAGGAAACTACGCCACAAGCCTTCCGTGTCCGGTCCGCCAAACCAAACCTGAGGTTTCCTTCGAGCTCGACGGGCCCACAGCCATGACCATGCCTGGTTGCTAGCTACCATAGTACGACTAGTCTACCACTCCCATGGCTATGGAAGGCAGTAGCACTCTGGTCCACACGGGGACGTGGAGTGCGGCACAAGACCACGTCTCGTGCCTCCAAAGGTTGCTCTGTTGGCCACTCGCGCGCCGATGGCTCTGATGGGGCTGGCTATTGAACTTGGATTGCTTCGCAAGCTCGAATCCTTGATCTTCTAAGGCACCGCACGGGTCCAGTGGCCAACGTTACGTGACACCAACCTAGCTAGCTACTTAAAAAAAAATAAAATGAAACTCCATGGGCACTAGCACCCACGGTTTTCTTGATATAGAAGAAGCATCCCTCATGAGAATTCCAGAAATTCGTCCCCGACGTGGATCGAACTCTGGTCGTTAGGTTTACAATCATGTGCCCCCAACCACTGGGCTATGCCCACGTCCTCACCTAGCTAGCTACTTGTACTGGCTGTGATGATTGATGCCTAGTTGCCTGTGCTGGAGAAGGGATTTTTTTTTTGAAACAGTGGCAAAAGACTTGCCTCATTCATTAATAAAGGAGGAGAATTTTAGAGTACATAATAATGGCTCCACAACATAGCCCGTCCGTCAACAAAATGAAAACAATAACTACTCTCGCGGCATGATAATGCTCAAGTGCGTAGCTCCTGCTATGACGCCCCCGATTCAATCGTACACTAATCATGCACGCAAATGTGTACGATCAAGATCAGGGACTCACGGGAAGATATCACAACACAACTCTACAAATAAAATAAGTCATACAAGCATCATAATACAAGCCAGGGGCCTCGAGGGCTCGAATACAAGTGCTCGATCATAGACGAGTCAGCGGAAGCAACAATATCTGAGTACAGACATAAGTTAAACAAGTTTGCCTTAAGAAGGCTAGCACAAACTGGGATACAGATCGAAAGAGGCGCAGGCCTCCTGCCTGGGATCCTCCTAACTACTCCTGGTCGTCGTCAGCGGGCTGCACGTAGTAGTAGGCACCTCCAGTGTAGTAGGAATCATCGTCGACGGTGGCGTCTGGCTCCAGGGCTCTAGCATCTGGTTGTGACAACCAGGTAGAAGGGAAAGGGGAAAAGAGGGAGAAAAGCAACCGTGAGTACTCATCCAAAGTACTCGCAAGCAAGGAGCTACACTACATATGCATGGGTATATGTGTAAAGGGCCATATCGGTGAACTGAACTGCAGAATGCCAGAATAAGAGGGGGATAGCTAATCCTGTCGAAGACTACGCTTCTGGCAGCCTCCGTCTTGCAGCATGTAGAAGAGAGTACATTGAAGTCCTCCAAGTAGCATCTCCAAGTAGCATCTCCAGTCGCATCGCATAGCATAATCCTACCCGGCGATCCTCCCCTCGTCGCCCTGTGGAAAAGCGATCACCGGGTTGTCTGTGGAACTTGGAAGGGTGTGTTTTATTAAGTATCCGGTTCTAGTTGTCATAAGGTCAAGGTACAACTCCAAGTCGTCCTGTTACCGAAGATCACGGCTATTCGAATAGATTAACTTCCCTGCAGGGGTGC